TTTTGGCCTGGGTTGAGAGTTGCAATTTTCAGAAAAACGAAAGTATGACTGGGGATCCAGATGGACCTGGATTGAAACCCTGATTTCTCCCCTTCCAAGCTCTCTGCGACCTGGTTTAGATTACTATTAGAGTAGATTACCATTTTCAGCCCCATCTTCTCGTCAGTAAAAGGGGAACAAGTGTTTCTAGGTAGTTATGAGAGTTAAAATGAAAGAATCAGAACTCCACCAGCCCGTCGCCCAGCTGTGGCCCTGAGCAAGTCGTTTAACCTGTCTGAATCTGTTTCTTCACCTATAGAACGGGAAAAAGCATCCGCTACCTCATGCGCTTATGTGGTTACGGTGAGGACTGAGTCATGGGGAGTGTGCCAGGGCACCCGGATTACTTTGTGCATAATAGACACTCAGTGGGGTCGCTGCTCCTCTTATTCCTGTTATGAGTCGCATTCTTTCTCTTTCTTCTAGTTCCCTTTCGGCCGACGCTTGCCTTGTGACATCTACTGGCACGGAGTTTCATTTCACGACAGTGACATATTCTCCGGTCAAGTGAACAAGTTTCCAGGTATTTGCCATGATCGCTGGCATTTAAAAATGTTTCCAGGGATGTGTCTCAGGGTACACTCTTCTCTGAAAACATGACAGTGCCTTAAGACCAAGCTCGAGGACTCTTAATTGGGCCTTGCTGCCTACGCTCTGCCTCGGTGCCCGTGACCAGGGAGGGACATTAACGTGTAGGAGTCAGGACCTACCCGCCAGGGGTTTAGAGACGGGGCCCCAAAACGAGAGAGACAGGCTCTCCTGGTCTGCGTCCACGGGTGGGAGAACATGATTTCCACTTTCTCGGGTATAGATATGATGTGGGGGTGTCGTTAGGGGACTCTATTCTCAAAATGAGGAGAATAAAAGACCATTTTACTTAAATAATTTGCAGGAAATGGAAGTACTAAAATTCTAGGACTGTGTCACAGAAACGGGGCTAGCAGCTTTCCTTTGCTCTACGTGTCATCTTTGGAGGGGCCATTTTTAAAACCAGTCTCCATGCTGGGAACTACAGGCTGCGGACAGCCTTGGCTTTTTACCTGACGACATTATCCCAGGAACACTTACCTGCAAGGGGAGCTTGGTGCCAGAGACGCGACAGAGCTCACACCTTAAGATACCCCCTCTCTCTCCACTCCCAGCCGCCCCATATGCCCCTTCATGTTATTTTTAATCTCTATCATCCTCTTCCGCTGTCATTGCTCTTGGTTATTTTTAATGGTTAAGTGAAGAGGGGGTTACGGTGAGGGGGATGCTTAGAGGGAGGGGGAAATTGGTTAAGCTGGGTCTGACCATAGCCAAAGGGTCTTCCACTAACTTTCAGAAATTTTAACCTATTGCTCAAACTATATTATAATGCAATAACAAATAACTTTTTAAAAAAGAACGGCACCCTGAATGCTATCTCTTATTTAACAAAACAGCAATGTGAATATTTCTGCATTTCCCCTCAAACCGTAACCGCGTTTTTGTGTCATTTTTATGTAGTTCCAGTGAGAGTATAGTTGCCTGAATATAAGGTGTTTTCTCTTAGCATTATATTATTCATGCTTATTTTTAAAAGGAGAATCGATTTCCTCTTTTTCTTTGACATTCTATGCCAGGTCTTTAAGAAAACACGTCTCAGAAAACCCACTATCCACACATTACACACCGGCTAGCTGTGCCATGTCCACTAGGGGATTTTCAACTAAGCAGACCGCCACAGGCCATACTTGGCTCGGATGCACTTAGAAGGATCTAGGGCAGGGGACACAGCTTGCCAGCTGGTCAGTGTCAGGTGTTTCTCTCCAGTGGCATCTTTGCAAGGGCCCCAGGGGTTGGTCTCCGGCCCCTCGAGTGGAAGCTCAGTAGGTGCAAGACAACACCCACGTCGGTGGACGTGAGCCTGTCTTGGCTGCACACCCTACAGGAGCCAATATCTCATGTGGCCACTTCATAGCACAGCTTCCGGGGTCCCCACCAGGATCGTGTAAGTGACGAACATCACTACGCTCAGGAAAGCCTGGGGCTGTGACCTCCTACCTGGTATTTATGCAATTTGCCCATCAGGGGTCATTTTACCCACATGCTTTGTCATCTAGTAACACAGCTAACTTTCTACCTTTACTGGTTTCCAGGGGAACAGAGCTAGAAAATTAACCTGAGCTCAAATTTGTCCTAAGAGAGGAGAGAGGATTTTGTTAGAGAACAAGAACTATTCTTGCAGCCAGGGATCTTGCACATCGTCTAATGGAATAGCTATTATTTCCCGTCTTGCTGCTCAGAAAAGGTGACTTTTTGAAGCCACTGACGGACTTCTGGGAGGTCGGGAGAACATAATTTGAAGGAGAGCAGCTCTTTGAATGAGGACAGCGTTCCTAAGACATAACTCATCAAATGAGGCTTCGTTTACCTTTTCCCATTTGCTCGTGCCTCATGTAACGGCTGAGAGAAGGAAGGGAGTAGGAGCTGGAGCTCTACATTTGGAACACAAGTTAGAAACACGGAGAAAAATACCCCCGAAGGATTAGTTTCATTAATGGTGATGTAGGAATATTCATTTCAAAGAAGCAAATTTGTCCCATCCTACGTTCCACGTGCCAGTGATTAGAACAGATGATTTCTCACTGTACTAACAGCAATTATTTAGCCGTAATGACGAAGCAGGCTCTTGAACGTCTGGGCAGAGAAAGGGGAAGGGCGCTGCCACAGGCTCTGCTCTGTGGGACACAGCGACCCTCAGCAATGGGCTGATTACAGAGCCCTCTGTCCTTTGGCTTCGGTTTGTGTCTGAGCTTATCTTCTGCCTCTTATACGTCCCATTATTTAAAAACTGCATTTCGCATGCATTGTATGTCACTTAGAAGAAGTTCCAGTGGATGTGTCAGGCAAGTATAAAATTCCCACGCTGAATAAACTGAAAACTTTCGGATACCCATATGGAAGTAATTTATTTTATTTGTCAGCACGTTAGATTTTAGCTACTTTTCCAAGGGGAATTTCCTTCAAGATACGTTATTATATCTTAACTGATGAATTAAGACTTTCTATAAAAGTCATCTGATTTGGATGCGTGTCTGCTTTAAGAAAGTCCAGAACTGTCAATTCTCAGCTGACAGACAACTTTCAGTGCATTTCAGGATCTGAGATGTTGGCAGCACGTGCCAGGTGGTGCCTGAGAGTCCACCGCGAGGAGGGGACTTTCTTGTAGAGAGAGAGAGGGCTCCAGCGAGGAATCTATGGGGGCAGCCATCTGTCCATCGCCGGTCTGGGCTGGGGATACGGAGATGAGGAGAAAGGCATGTAGAGAGGGAAGTCAAGTACAAACTAAGTGCTATGCCAGAGGAAGCGTGGGATGCCGTGGGAGTTTGGAGCCAGGGCACATGACCTAACCCAGATTCGCTTGGGAGACAGGCCGGGTGAGAGATCCTGGAGAAGAGGATTGACATGTGAGCTGAGCCCCCAGGGATGGATGGGCCTGACTCTCATGCAGAACAAGGGTGCAGAGTTGGTGCAAAGACTCAGAATGCTGAGAGCACACCGCTCACTCAGTGGAGGGCAAGTGGCCCTTCCTGGTTAGAAAGGGTCAGGTGTGATGGGCGGTGGAGAGGTGATAGACAGGGGCCAAAGGTCATGCGTGGGAAGCCGCAGAGGAATTTTTAAGCCAGAGAGAGTGACACAGACTCACTTGGATTTTAGAAAGACCAGCTAGAGGGGTGCATTGGAGGTGGGCGGAAAGGCTGAGAGAGGGAAGAGAGAGCTAAGAGGCCTCTGCAGCATCCAGGCACAGGACGGGCTCACTGGTGGTGATGGGGCACGGAGAGAAGAGGATGGATCTGGAAGTATTTGTCGTTTGACGGTTGTAATGTGTCTTTGCCAAGAACGGTAGTTACAAATGGTATTTGGATTGAATAATGCAATGCTCCCAACGTAGCTGAGATTCGATTTGATTTTTTTCACTGGGCAAGCCCGAGGATCAAACTGTTACCCTCGTGGGTATCTCCACGTGGGCGAGACCCACCAGGCCTTGAGACTTTGGTGTAGCAGACAGAAGAACCCACGCTCAGGTGTGGCAGGGGGGCAAGCTCTTGGTGTGAGAAGCTCTGACCTGAGTTGGGGGTTTTCCCAATCGCTAGGGGAACTCCTACCACAGGGACATCTGGGGATAGACCTTGTTGAGAAACCCAGGTAGGCGTCAGCCTCAAAGGAACCTGTTAGTAGGCACTGAAGTCACGGGGAGGAGGACCCCAGCCCTCGCAGGGCAGGCTCCAGGGGCGCAGCGGAGAGAACAAGGCCAAGGCATTGCTAAGGCGGCTGCTCAGGCACCACGCGCAAAGGACAGTCCCAAAATTTGGGGACAAAACAATGGAGGCTCAGAAGAAGTTAGAATCCTCCTTACTCAAGTGGAGAACTAAGCTGGGGCCAAAGATTGCCTAATATGGGGAGTTAATGGTTAGACGTAGAGCTCTCATTTCAGGTCAGAATGGGTCCCAGAGCCTAGGGCAGGGGTCACAGGTAGGGTCAGGTGCTGCAGCTCCTTAGAAAAGGGAGGCAGGGTCTGGAGCCAGCAGAGCCTGGCAACAACCTACCTTTTCACAATTTTACTCTGGGACCATGTGCTCGGGCTCAGCTAGAAGCCCAGCTCCTCTTGTCAGAATCTTACTGAGAGAAAATAGCTCTCCCCACGTCTGTGTCTGAAGCACTGCCAGAGGCAGAGATGCCAGCAGCTCCCATGTGGGGTCAAGCGGGGAGTGAGAGACACTCTCTCTGGCAGCACTGGGTGGAAACACAGCCTAGATATGGCATAGGAACAAAGGAATTGGTGGTAAGCGGATTGAGGGAGGTCTACACTGGCGCCTTCTGGAGACAGGCATTCAGGCAGAGCTAGAGGCGAGCTGTCTACAGCCGGCAGACTGGACTGTCTGGGAAAAGTAGCCATTGGCTTGTAGGGATGCTTCGGAACCTGGCCAGTTTTAGTAGAGAACTACCTGGGGACAGATGCAAAGGTGAACTTGGAAACAGGTCTATGAGCTGGTGTGGAGACTACCGATTCACAACACGAAAGGAGCCATTGCTGAATGTTCACTCAGTTTGCTGGACGCTGATTTTCACAGAACTTTTCGGGAGCATTCAGGTCGCGCTCCTGTACTCGCAACACTCTGTGTCGCGTGAGTCTTTCTGACTTGCTGAGGGACTTTCTGAACCTTCCCCTGTCACAATGCCACTAAAACACAGCAAATACCACAGCTGTTCGGTAGGGGGCATCATCTCTTTGAGGTGAGGTGCTGTGTTGCAGTTAGTTCTGAAGGTTTTTAGTTTAACACTGTAACTAAAACGTTAGTCGAATGCAAACGAAGAGGTTCTGAGAAAGTTGAAATTTGTGTTCGTGGTGTTCAGCTCCAGCGTTTATAACTCAAAATTTCTAATCTCACAGGAGAATAAAAAGGAATAGCCATAATTTTCCAAACTCATACTTATCTTTTTGGGAAGCTCAGAACAGTGTCTTCGGCGTTTTTTTTTTTTTTTTTTTTTCCTTCTTCTTTTATTAACATCGAGGAGTCCACGTTAGAGCACAGTTTATAAGTGCTTTTTAGGCTCCTTTATTTCTTACGTAATCCTTCTCTATATCCTTCTAAACAAGAGCTGAGAACCTGGGCATTGACATCTTGAAGCTGCAACCTTTATATTTATTGCTCTTTTTTAATATGCCGAGGGAAGCAAGCAGTAGGTATCAAAACCTTTATTCTCAGATATTTATCCTTTGCTTCCTGTACATGGGGGTTTAGAGAAAGCTCGTTCATTCTGATCGTGCCCATTTGGAACGTGTGATAATTCGGACATGTCCAGCTGACATGGAACTTCGTACTTCCTATTAAAAATAACTTTGCTAAGCAAATTTCTAGTGTGAGCAATAGAACTCTGTAGCCTCTTTCAGGGTGGAGATCATTTTTAGTCTCCATTTGTAGTGGTGATATTTGCCTTAAGAAAGAAGCGTGTTAAAATGCAAAATAATTTTTACCTATGTGCTTAAAATTTGCTAAGATATACACTCAATTTCTTCTCTTGTCAGAGTTACTAAAGATATGACAAAAAAAAAAGTCCACCATTCTTTTAAAATGTTTTGTAAGTGAGACATTTCAATCCCCTCTGGACAAATTTATGAAATCTGATCAATTTCAGTGTCAGTACTTAGAACTGAAGAACTCCTACAGATTCCATTTTTTTCTCTTAAACTATGAATTATACTGATATCCTTTCCACTTCCTATCCTTATTTCAACGAGATAGATTTTATGCTGAAAGGTGTATATTTTTCTCTCTCATACCTTTTTTTAAAATTAATTCTCATGAAAGATTAAAACAAAGCAACTTAATTAAGCTTCTCGTAGTGTAAGCAGAGTCCGCTAGATAATCTTCTGTAGGGTAGATGGAAGGGACTCCAGAAGTACCTATGGTGGCCCCAAATTAAAGAAGATAATATGTTTTAAGTGGAAGATATAAATGCTTCTCTCTATTTATTATCAAGGGGGCTGACAAAGAATGGAATAATAAGCTAAGTAGAAATGCATTTCTTCAAATTGATGCTTCATTTTTATAAGGAAACAAAATTCACCTATTGCTTCAAGTTTTTCATTAATTTGGTAGGTCTTTATAAACCACGAGTCATCACTGTGGGTGAACAACTACCTTTTTTTATCTTGTCTGCAAAAGTGAATATGTTGGATGGGTGGTTTTAAAAGTCCCAAATAATGGCTGTTTTATAGCTGGTGGCCCACTGTTGTTAAAACCTCACAGCTTCTCTTCTCCCCAGGCATGACGGAGATGGTGCGTAAAATTACTCTGAGCAGAGCGGTGAGAATCATGCAGAATCTCTTTCCTGAGGAGTACAACTTCTACCCTCGCTCATGGATTCTGCCTGACGAGTTCCAGCTCTTTGTTGCTCAGGTAGATGCACTCCGTCCCTATGACCCTTGAATTATATTATGGTTGCAACTGCGTCCTGGGTCCTGTGCTGGGAGCTGGGACACGGGGCCCCCAGAAAGCTGAGTCTGGCCAAGGGAGTGTTTAACAGTACACAGTAGGTGTTGACAGCGATCATGGCAGCTTGCAGAGTTGAACAGGGAGGGTGACAGGTAGGTAATCTAAAGAGGTGCATCTTGACACTAGGAGACAGGCCTGAGGCTGATATTGGGAGCTGGATCATGGGGTTGGCATTTGGAGAAACAGAGGGACAGAGCTGGAGCAGGTGGCTGAGCGCACAAGAGGGCTGGGACTATTTGTTCAATCCTAGAAGGGTGGTCTCCCCAGCATCCAGTGGTGTGAAATGTGGGATCGGGCTACGCTTCAAAGCCAGGGACCGGGTCTGACAAACTGGGGCGGGGAAACCTTTTAAATGTCCCAATTTAAATTTGTACCAGAATCAATTTTCAAATCACCCTTTCTCTATCAAAGCAGTGTGTTTGAGCATGAAATACTTCGGAGCCTTCACCACTAATTGTGAAACGGAACTAGTAGGGAAGCTGAATTCAGAATTGCCATTTCGGTTAGTATTTTAATGATGTCATTTAGGACCATCTCAAAGCCTTTGTCAGCAGTTTCCATGGTCCATCTCATACCTCTGAGGGGAACCACACAACAAACGCCGGTCCGATTATGATAAGGATACATCCATTTGTTGGTCCTACTGTGTTTCAGGCACTGTGCCAGAAGCCTAACATTATTTCTTTTGATCCTCACAGCAGTCCTCGAAATGAAACTGGTTGTATGATCCTCATTTTATGGATGAGGAAACTGAGGCTTTGAGAAATTAAATGACTTGCTTGAGAAGTAAGATTTAGACTTAGAGCTAATTTCAAGGCTTATGCTTTTTATAGTCTGTCTTATTGCCTGCATGTTGTTTTGGTTTTAATATTAAATTATAAAACTTATAATATAATTATGATTTATAAAGCACAAAATAAGCTTGAAGTGGTAATTTTTAAAAGGATTCTCTCTATGGGATGGTGGTCATGTGGGTCTATATACATTTCTTAAAATGCATCAAATCATTAACTTAAAATGAGTGTATTTTATCACATGCAAATTATGCTTCAATAAAGTGAATTTTAAAAAAATACACTAAACCATCAGCTGCTCCCCACACTGACCCCACCCCGCCACCCCCATGCCAATTTCCCATTTCTGGGACTCTGCTCATGCTATTGTCCCTATGTGGAATACCTTTCCTTCCTATTTCTACAACTCTATGTCTAACAATTCTGCCAGGCTGAATTTAAATGAGGTATAACTGTGCCTTCAAAATCAGATAAGTGAGAAAAGCGGTTCCATCACTCCCAAAAGTTCCTCTGTGCCTCCTTGCAGTCAGTCAGTCAATCCCCTCATCCCCCAGCCTAGGCACCTCCGGATCTGCATTTCCATTATAGAGAAATCTCACCTCTTCAAGAAATTCATGTAAATGAAATCTTATGGTATGTACTTTTTTGAGCCTTTTTTTCTTTCAGAATTATATTTTTGAGATTCATCCCTGTTTGTTGTGTGTATCAGTAGTTAGTGTTTTTATGGTGAAACGTGTTCCATTGTGGAAATACACCCCAATTTGTTTATCTGTCGGTCAGTTGATGGGCTTTTGGGTTGTTTCCACTTTGGAGACATTATAATTAGAGCTGCCGTGACTAGTCACGCCCAAGTCATCTTGTTGATATGTTTTCATTTCTCTTGGGTAATATACCCAGGAGTGGAATTGCTTGATCATATGGTAGGTGTATGTTTAACTTTATAAGAAATAGCCAAAGTGTTTTCCAAAGTGCTTATACTACTTCACACTCCCACCAGCAGTGTGTGCACGTTCCGTTCGTTCCACGTCGTTGCCAACACTTGGTATTGTTATTAGCCTTTTGAATTTTAGACATTCTGAGAGATGTGAAGTTGTAATTCTTTATGGTTTTAATTTACATCTCCCCAATGACTAGATGTTGAGCATCTTTTCATATGCTTTTAGCCCATTCGAATATCTTTTTTTGTTAAGTGTATATTCAAAATCTTTGCTCATTTTTATTAGCATTTTATATTGTAAGTTCTTTACATATTCCATGTGTGAGTCTTTTGTGTATATAATGTGATGTATTTAAATATGTATTGTGAATATTTTCTCCTACTTGGCTTTTCAAAGGCTTAACCTTGAATTTTCATTTTAACTGTCTTTTGAAGAGCAAAAGTTATTAATTTAGATGGTTTGATTTATCAATTTTTTCTTTTATAGTTTATGCTTTTTGTGTGACATCCAAGACATTTTTGGATTAATGGTTATGAAGATTTTATACTTTTTTCCCTAGAAGTTTTATAATTCTAGCTTTTAAGCTAAAAGCTATGTCTATGGTTCATTTCAAGTTAGTTTTTGTGTATAAGATTGGGGTCAAAGTTTGATTTTTTTCCATATGGCTATTCAGTTGTTTCAGCATCTTTCGTTGAAACGACGGTCATTCCCCGACTCAATTACCTTGACATCTTTATTGAAAACCGGTAGGCCATATATGTTTCGGTCTGTTTCTGGACTCTGTCTTGTCCCGTTTGTCTGTACGTTTACTCTTATGCTGATACCCCGCATTACCTTGATTATTACAGCTTTATAGTCAGTCTCGACATTAAATAGTGCAAGTCTTCTTGCTTTATTTTCAGATTATTTTGGCTGTTATAGATCCTTTGCATTTCCATATCAATTTTGTAATCAGTTTGCCCATTTTTACAAAGAAGACTGCTAGGACTTTGATGTGGAATTTGTTATTGCATCTACAGATAATTTGGAGACAGTGACCACCTTAACAATGCTGAGTTATCTAATCCATGACTTTTGTCTCCATGTATTGATATCTTTTAAAATTTATCTCAGCAACATTTTATAGTTTTCAGCGTATAAGTCTTACACATATTTTATTAAATTTAGCCCTAAGTATTTTCATTTTTCATGCAATTATAAATGATATTTTTTTAATTTCATTTTTCGATTGTTGCTAGTGTGTAGACATCCAATCGACTTTTTAATTTCGAACTTGTATCACATGACCTTGTTCAATTCTCTTATTAGTTCTAGAATTTTCTTTTTGTAGATTTGTTAGGATTTTCGATGTATACAATTAATTAATCCGAGAATAAATATATTTTATTCCTCCTAATTGGTGTGCCTTTTATTTGTTTTTCTTATGAAACTGCACTGAGCTAGGACCTCCAAGACAGTGTTGAGCAGAAGCGATTTGAGTGGAAATCTTTGCTCTGTTTCCCATCTCAGGGAGCAAGCATACAGCCTTTCACTGTTACATGCGAGGTTAACTAGAGGTTCACAGATGCCCTTTATCAGGTTGAGCATGGTGTCTTCTATAATTTGAAGAAAGTTTTTCATCATCACATACGAGGTTAACTAGAGGTTGTTCACAGATGCCCTTTGTCAGGTTGAGCACGGTGTCTTCTATAATTTGAAGAAAGTTTTTCATCATGAATGGGTGCTTAATCTTGTCGAATCCCTTTTCTGCATCTATTAAGATGGTATGGTTTTTCTCTTTATTTTGGTAATATGATAGATCACACTGTTGATCTAGTATATCGAAATGTTGAACTAACCTTGCATTCCTGATACAAATCATACTTAGTTATGGTGTATTATGCTTTTTATATACTGCTAAGCTCTATTTGCTGATACTTTGTTGGGAATTTTTGTATCTTTGTTCATGAGAGATATGGGCATGTGATGTCTTCGGTTTTGATATCAGACAAGCCTTATTAAATGAGTTGGCAAATGTTTTTCTTCTATTTGTTTTTTTGAAGATTTTGTGCAAAATTGGTATTTCTTAAGTGTTTGATGGAATTTACTATTGAAGGTATTTAGATGTGAAGCTTTCTTGGAACATTTTAAGCTATGAATTAAAAAAAATAAGTATAGATAATTTGTCTTTCAAGGAACTAGTCCATTTCATCTAAGTTGTCAAGTCTACTGACATAAAGTTTTAAAAAATAATATTCCTTATTTTCTTTTAATACCTATGAGATATGTAGTGATCTCCCCTATTTCATTGCTAATATTGGTAATTTGTGTTTACTTTTTTTCATGATCAGTCTAGCTAAAGGTTTATCAATTTTGTTGAGTTTTTTCAAAGAACCAATTTATGATTTTATTGTTTTTCTCTATCTTTTGCCCATTTTCTATGTCATTGATTATGATTTTTATTATTTTCTTTCTTCTGCTTTTGGGTTCACTCTTCTCTTCTTTCTCTAACTTTTAAAAGAGCAACATAAGTTTGATGATTTTTAACACTAAAGCAATAAATTTCCCTCTAAGTGATGCTTTAGATACGTCTCAGAAATTTTGTGTATTACATTTTCATTACTATTCAGTTCAAAATGTTATTTAATTTCCTTGGAGATTTCTTTGACCCATGGGTTATTTAATTTTTAAATAATTGTGTTGTTTAATTTTTAAATAATTTTGGAATTTCCCAAGTATCTTTTGTCCTTGATTTCTAATTTGATTTTGTTAACATGAGAGCATATATATTCAGTATTACCTAGATCCTTTTAAATTTATTGAAAGTTGTCTTATAGCCCATATACTGTCTATCTTGGTGAATGTTTCATGTGCATTTGAAAATAATGTGTATTCTGGAATTGTTGGAATAGCATCCTATAAATCTCACTTAGGTCCAGTTGACACTTGGTACGGTTCACGTGTTCTTTACTAATTTATCGCCTACTTGTTCTGTCAGCTATTCAGAGAGTATGTTGAAATTTCCAACTCTTACTGCGATTGTCTTTTAATTATGTCAGTTTTTGCTTTATGTATTTTGAAGCTCTGTTATTAGTTTGATGATTTGACTCTTTTATAAGGTAACTTTCCTTGTCCCGAAGTCTTTTCTGTTTGATATTAATATAGCATGTCTAGCTTTCTTTGGCTTAGTATT